ATATGTGTATATGTATATATACTTTTTTTGCACACATGAACATATTTATAGGTTAAGTTCTTAGAAGAACTGCTATATCATATAATGTGTATTTGTATTTTGTAATGATCATTTAAAAGCATATTGCATGTCTTTTCCCTGCCGACATACCTCTTGTTCATGATTCAACGTTTGGTTCTGCATTTATATAGAAATGCTGAAAACACCAGGTCATAGGATAGAGACACAGCATAATCACATGAGATCCTCAAATGCAGAAAATGGCAGTGGGAATGGGCCTCGAGATTTACATGACAGTTACAGGAGAAGACAGCTTCTAGCTGGGCAAATGGTGGAAGGAAGGGAGGTAGATGCTTACACAGCAAAAGGCCCCGGGACAGACACATTGGGAATGGGATTTGAGAGAAATTGTACTCATAGATGCCACTTAAACACCCAAACAAGCCTGAAGGCCATGAAACTAAGTCCATCAGAAAATGCCCCTTCATAAACAGCAGAATTATTTTTAAAATGACTGTTGACATTTAGAGGTATTTTCTGGCTATTCCGCAACCTCATCCATCATTAAGCCATGTTGGCTAAAAAAATTAAACTACATAGATGAATATGATTTTAAAATGAAGGTCCTCTTTTACCTTTTTCCAGAGATCACAGTTGTAAGTAAGTTTGGTGTGATTTCTTTAATAGGAATACACCCAAATGCATGTATATGTATGCACACTTTTGTTTTAAAACAGAAAATGTTTTATGCTATATACCGTTCTCCAACCTCCCAAATCCCCAACCTGAGAAACCAATATAACATGGCCCTTTTTCTATGGAGATGTAGCTTTTTATTTTTAATGACTGCACACTGTTCTATAGTATATATCAAAATTTATTTTATATTCACTATTGGTGAATGTTTTTCAGGCTGTTTCTAATTGTAATTGTTTCTGACAATGCTCGATGAATGTGCCTTAGTTTTCTACAGATCAGAGTCCTGTTTTGCTATTTCATGCTTTCTGTAAACAAGTAATATCTAGATTAGTAATTAGTTTGGAGACACAAAATACCATTCACTATGCAAACGTATTCCTATGCAGAATCACCTCTTCTTTGGAAATGCCTAAAGCATTAATTGTTCATTCATTAACTATAAGAGCATGGCTTCTGTGTTCACTTCAATATGATGGACCAAAGTCTTAGATGCTTCTGCCACAGACTTGCAATAGAAAGTGAGAAAGATTAACTCTTATAGAGTAAGAAAGACTCACTATGTAGTAAAGAATATTATGAGGATGAAAAAGATGATGTGCGTGAAGCATTTTGAGAAATAATAAGATGTAATACTGTTTAGAATACAAATGCGTTACCTTCAGACTTTCTCCGCTAAAAGACCATGTCAAATATAAGCCATCTAGGTACTTTTCTAGAGGACTTCATCTAGATGTATGATTGGTTGTAGACAGTGTGCAATTGCAGGAGGGGGGTGTGGTGTAGTGGGACTCATATTACACTGTGAGTCTAATTCTACCTCCAGCACATCTGGCACAGAGAGCTAGTCACGCCACTTTAACTCTTCCCTAAGTCATCTCATACTCTCTTGTAACTGAGAATAGCACTATCTGCTTTAACAGTCATGTTATGTAAAGTCAGGATTAACTGAGATGAAATGTAAAGACGCTGCTTTGAAAAACTTGTTGTTTATGTGATAAGGATGATTCCAGGGATTAGGATTATTAGTGTATCTGGGGCACATCTGTGAGGTCCATTATTATGCCCTTTCAGGAAGACATCAACCAGTGACAAAGAGATTAAGATGAGACACAGGTTTTTTATTAAATTATAACTTTAGTAGGACATCAGAGTTTTATTCCTCATAAGACTCATTAAGTACGATTCCTTATTTTTTCATGAACCAGGAAGATAGAATATCGATCAACTGAAATTATCAGATAAAAGGTAGCATAGATATAAAAATTATTTGTGTTACTACTTAGGAGAATGAAATTTAGGATCTGGCTCACATTTACATAACATGTTCTGGTTCATTGTTCATACTTAGTCTTTATAAATTCAAGTTCATGAATTCCAGGAATTTCTCCTTTTAGCTCTTTTTAACAATGGCTATCATATATAATTTTCTGATCTTTAGAAAATTTCTCTTTGTTTTTTGAGAGCAAATTACTTGTTTACTTCCAGATTCCCATTGGTTTACATTTTGTGTTCTTAACTCTTAAAAAAAAATGTAGCCAGTTTCAGTGATTTTAATTGCACTTGTGTTTTTCTATCTCTTCCTTAAAGAGGGCTGGTTTTTTTTTACATTTAGGGTCACTTTCTCGGTTCCTTTTCTAAAACTTTAAAAAAAAATCCTTTGGATTAAGAAATCCTCACTTCTCCCATAGTAGGCTATAGAAAGGATTCATTGAATTTTTTTGAAATATATAATTATAGTTATTTACTCCCTGGTAGTGTTAAGGACCTATGGGCATATTTTATTGATTGGAGTGGTGTTAAATAATTTTTAATTATTTAAACTAAAACAAACTAAGGCATAGACTTATACATAAAGATTGTTTTTGAGGCTGGATCCCCTTAGTTAAAATTATGACTCACTTCTTGTTTTCCTGCTCTCTTTATTCTCCATTACTGCTTTGTTTTCCTCCATCGCATTTGTCACCTTCTACTTCTAATACAAATACATTTTCTTTTTCTTGTTTTTGGTTTTTTTAATGGTCTATCTTCCCCACAAATGTGTAATCTCTCTAGATGCAAAGATTTTTATCTTTTGTATTCACTGCTCTCCAGTGCTTTAAAAAGCCACTGTATAAATACCCATCCAGCTTTTCAATTTCTAAATTTAATTTGTAAAGTGTATTTAATCAGAAGTTTTAATTTTGAGGAGATATTGGCCTAGTTTTAAACTTTATTATAGTGAACTCCAACTCGTCTGAAACATAATAAATGGAAAGTTAATATTACCATCTTTTAAAAATTCTTATTTTATCGAAAACATATACCTTCTTACTCCATCCCCTCAAATGAGGAGCTATTTGAAAGATTCAATCCTTAAGGCATAACTTAGAGTCTACACATTACGTGCAACCTCTTGCAAATTTCTGGGTTAATGGTGATAACTGATTTTCATTTTGTTACTGACGTTGATTTTGATGTGCCTTAAGATCCTGAAATACCTTCTGAAATTCTGGCACAGTGGGAAGCAAATTCAGTGAAATAATGGCAGCATCTTCTCTCACAGGCTATGCGGTCAACACATCACTATGCAAAATGAGTACTTGTGATAACTGAGTAAAGAATAATATGAAAATGATTAAAATCTTATATATTACCTTAATATTTTAAATGGGAAAATATTGTAATATGCCGGGGAAAAAGTGTTACTAGGAAAGTATTTAATATCTCTTTTATTCATTTTAGATAAGATGGGAAAAAAACATCACATTGGGGGAGCCACCAGGATTCTTACATTCTTGGTGGTGGTAAGTATCTTCTATTTCATTTTTACCAGCTCAGCGATACATTGCAGCAGGCCTGCACTATACCTGTTTATGATTTCACTCTTCTTTTTTATTCTCGTTCATTTTGTGCAATTATTTTCTGAAAGGTAGCACTTAAAAAAAAAACAAACAAACCTCAAAACCAACATTAGTGTTATTTAACTTAAAATATTACTAATGAATGAAGCTGTAATTAGGACCAGTCTGCGGAATCTCCACCTGTAAGTATGATTCTGTGTTAGTCCACTTGGGCTGCCATAATAAAATACTGTAAACGGGATGGCTTAAACAACGGGAATTTATTTTCTCACAGGTCTTGAGACTGAAGTCCCAGATCTAGCGGCCAGTATGGTCTGTTTCTGGAGAGAACCCTCTTCCCTGGCTTGTCGACGGCTCCCTTCTTACTGTGTCCTCACATGGCAGAGAGAGGGGTGGGGGGCATGTGCACACCAGCCAGTTTTCTGGTAGCTCTTTTTATAAGGGCACTAATTCCATCATGAGGGCCCCACTCTCGTTACCTCTCATCTAAACCTGAGCATACTGAAGGTGGTAGTGGTGGTGAATTTTTAGGAGAATGAAGAATAGTCCCCCACATTTTAAAATAATTCTGTATAGATTCAGAGACAGAATGGACTAGGAACACACACAAAGACTGTCAGGTAGTACTGCAGGCCCAGCTGATATCAGATCTTACAAATGTCACTGTGGCACCCGTGTGCCCAAGTATGTGGCTTCTCTGAGCAGCAATTGGTAGTCCAGGTACTTACATGACAAGCTAGCCTTTTTTTTTTCATTTCTTCAATTATAAGTATTTCCCCTTCAGTGCCTTATGCATTTATCTCCCAGCACCTATGTGAAAGAAGAAACAAAAGGCACTCTTGTAGTGCCAGGCACGTGGTTTCCTTGGTACATTATTTAATGCCATTGTCTTTTTAATCTCTCTCCTGAAAACATGCTTTACTAGAAGTTCCATGGTGGATGGAACCGCACTTGGTCAGTTGTGGTTGTGGGTTTCCCTTGTTTGTCTCACATACGTGTGGCAGGAACAGGTGCAAGCCTTTGGTTCAGAGCTGTTCCTGTATTTGGAACAACGGTTCACTGCAGTTACACACTATCGTTGTGCTGTTTTCCTGGAGTTTAAGACCAGTCTTTTATAATGTACAACATTATAAAAGTCAAATTTTCATTTTACATAGTATGTATTTATGATATCTAGACCTAGACTGTAAATACTTGACTGTTGACTATAACTGAGTCTCCTCACCTGTTGACACGCTTATATTTTGTATGTTTCTAATTAGGTCCACAAAGTGGCATAAGAAACCATTTACTAGTGGGCTAATAACAAAGTGAGGATTTTAAGTTTTCCATTATAGGATTAATTCTATGTTTTGCCCTTATTTCCCTTTTATTCTCTTTTTTCATGAATTTAACCTATTTTCATACTGTAGGTAGAGCTCGCTGAATACTTTGGCTTTTTGCTTCTGGTCAGACTTTAGCTTTTAGGGCTTAGCTATTGGAAGGTGTGGCTCTTATATACAATTCATAGCATGAAAGCTGAGGTAAGTCCTGTTATAATAGCAATACAGGAGGAATGCTCACATCAGCTTGGGAGATTTAGGAAAGCCTGCATAGAGAGCTGAAAGGTGAGTGAGGGAAGGGCGATTTGGGGAAGGAATAGTTAGTATAAGTCTTGAAAAAAGGGATGATCATGCATTCAAGGAATAACAGGTAGCTTGGACCAGTTGAATTGTAGGTGCAGTACTATGAAGCGATAGAATATAAGGCTAGAGATAAAGGCAGGGCCAGACTATGAAGTCCAGGAATACATCAAGGGTTTTGGACTAAAGCGCAAAGATTTTACACAAGGTACATAACATAACATGATTAGATTTGTGCTTTTACACACTCACTTGGCACCAACATAGAGATTGGTTGAGAACAGAGGCAGAGTCTAGTTCACAAGTTAGTTGTAATTGTTCAGTTGAAAGGTGATTAGGTGATGGAGCCCAGGTAGTGAACACTGAATGGAATAGTTGGGAGGTGAAGGAGGAGGTTCTCAGGTTTTAGATTTGGATGCTGAGATGAACAGTGATGCCACTGACAGAGTTAGGGAACACAGAGAGAGCAACAGGCTTTGTAGAAAAGACCATGATTTAGCTGGACAGGCTACATTTTGAGATTCCTATGTGGTATTCAGATAGAGATGCCCTATACAAAGTCAGAGACGTGGGTTTGTAGCTCTGAGACAGGTCCATAATGGCTTGGGAGTTATCGGTATTGACCCTACCGTCGGTGAAGAGTGTTCATGAATGAAACTGCCTAGTGTAAAACATAAGAGAAGTGCCTGGGGTTGGAACCCTGGAGAAAGTTGACATTTAAGCGTGGATGGATGAAGAGAAGTCTCAAAGGGAAATAATTGGAGAGGAAGGAGAGTAATCAGGAGAGAAAATGTATGGTAACCAGGAAAGACATTCAAAGGAGAGATTAAATTCTGCAGCAAGTGTAAGTAAAAAGACCCAAAGAGGGCTGGCTGAGTGGCGCGTTGGTTAAGAGCTGGCTTGGGACGGCAGCTCTGAGCAGCAGGGCCCTGGTTCAGATCCCACATATGAGGGCCAGTGACACTGCCCTCTACAGCTAAGATGCTGAACAACAGCTCGACTTGGAGTTGGGCTGCCATGAGTCACCGGCGACAGCGTAGGCTGCAGCCCCTGTTGCAGTGGGTTGCCATGGGCTACCGTGTGTAGCCAGCAGCCACAGTGAGCGGCCGTCCAGAAGCCGGCGACTGATCTGCCTCGCCCGGGAAGAGTGCAATGATGGTGCCAACTTGGGTCAGTGAAGCAACGTCCTCCACAACTAGACTGAAGAACAAAAGGACAGCAACTTGTCTGTTCCCCTTCCCCCAATTACCCAATAAAAATCTTTAAAAAAAAAAGACCCAAAGATTTTTCTGATTTGGGAAGTGAGGTGAGCTTTGGTGACCGGTCTTGGGGAGAACAGACTCAGTGGAATGGTGAAAGTGAAAATTTGAAGGCTGCTGTAACTCATTTGTCCAGCTTGAGGGTTGCTGAGAGTGGTTGAGATGTGTGTTGACATGTGTAGTAGTTGTAGGATTAACGATAGAACAGGACCTAGCATTTTTGTTTTTAACATAAAATAGATTTGATCACATATATAGATTTAGGTGGAAAGAGTGGGAAAGGGTGAAGATGTCTGACGAGAAATACATATGCACAAAAATGCAGAATAAAGTACAGGAGAGATGAGAGGAAGAGAATTCTGCCTTTAGTAAGGGACAGACCATGTGACTGCACTTTCTGGAACTCTTTTTTTCCTTGCTTCTGATGTGGTTTCCATTTTCTCTGTTTTGTTCTTTCTCAATTTGGGCGATGCCCATTGCTGTTGCATTTCCCATGGCTCCCATGTTCGTTACCTTTACCTTGACCCGATCCCCTTTAAAAACTTACTTCTTCTCTGTATACTTGAATAATAATTCCTAGCTCTTCCATGAATTTCAGAAATAGAAATGCCAAGAAACTTTTCTCTGAAATTAATATCCTTTTCAATTTGTGTAATTTAAAAATATACTTTTTAAAACTTCATAAAGTTTTAATGACAGAAGCTATGTCTCATTTTTTATTTAATTTGATATATAAAACACCTTTTGGAATAACTTGGGGCCAGTGTATCTACAGCGGTTCTCAACCTGTGGGTCGCGACCCTTTTGGAGGTCAAACGACCCTTTCACAGGGGTCCCCAGGTACTCGTATGTGGGCGTATCTGCATGTGGGCCTGGAGACGGATAGAGGAGCGGTGTCTCAGTTCCTAAGACCATCGAAAATATGTGTTTTCCGATGGTCTTAGGCGACCTCTGTGAAAGGTTGAGAACCTTTGATCTATATCCTGAAATTAAAGGAAATGGAGGCAAATTTTATTCAGCCATTAAAAAAACTTTTTTTAATTTCCTGGCCATACTACCTATATGAGACTTTCCTAGAATATTTTTTAGTACCTTTACAGGTCTTTTAAAAATGCTTTTGTATATACCATCTCTTTGTATCTTCCAATAGCCTGTAAAATACATCACAGATGTTTCTCCCTTTTTACATAAAGAAACTAAGGAACAAAAACTATTTGTTCTGGGTCAAATTTAGAATTACAGTTGAAGTTTCCTGAATTATAACCGGTGCTTGTCTCGGCAACAGATATTATTTCTGAAACACAGAGCAGAATTTAGTGGCCCACTGTTAATAAGACATTAATTACCGTTCCCTTTTGAGCATTGTGAGTGGCTAATTCCAGACAGCAGATATAAATGGAACTCAGAAAAGTTGTCTCTTCTGAGTCCAGTCTATGCGTATATTGAGGCATCCATGGGCCATTGGCAGCTGCTGGTAGCATGAGAGGGTGGTTGCCATAGAATACTCAGGAAAAGAGTTGGAGTACAAGGGTCAAAGCAGGATAAGAAAGTGCTTGCTGTTCTATCTAGGTCAGGTACTTACCAACCGCTGATGCTGCTCAGACTGCCAGAATATCTAAACCTGCCCATCTTCAGCATGAGGCATTTTGAAATAAGAACTCTTAATACTATACTCACGTTAGAGGCAAAATAATGTAAAAATTAGAAAATTCAAGCCCAGCTCTGCCACTCACTGTGTGTCCCTTAGGTAAATGATTTAACCTTCCTAAGCCTCAGATCCCTCACCCATAAAATGGGAACAATAATGGGAGGATTAAATGCTGAATAGGTAATGATTAGTATATGATGCGTGAATTTACCACATACTTATTAAATGTAAGCTATTTTGATACTTTAAAATGTGAATTTATTACTAATCCAGGAGCATTGTGAGAATTTTATGATAATGGGACACAAGTTAATGCTTGAATTTTGAAAAATATTAAGTAATGCTAAGGAATAAGACAAGCACATATACATGGAAGTTGAAAGGTGATGAGCACGTATGTACATTTCATATACAATCCTCCTTAGTCTTATGAATTGATAGTTTTCTTCAATATGGATTATGACATTCATTGATTATACAATTTTGGGCCGAAGAGAAATAACTTCCTTAGTTATTGAGACTTGAACTTATAATAACATGGCTTGCTCCTCAGAAAAAAATGTTTTCTCCAAAGATTGTTTTTCTTCTTCCTCTTTTAATTTTCCTTTTCAGATAGTCCTAGATCTGGCCAGTGGCATAAAGGTTATATAATTAGGTTAGCATCCCATCTTGTGGGACGCATCTGGCATGTTTCTTCACCCTTGTAGACTACTCGGGCAACCATTTTGCTTTCTTTGTTCCCTGGAGATAGTGACAGCTAGCTTAGTCATTTCAGCTCACATCCTCAGGACAGAAGGAAAACAGTGTTTGGATGACAATCCTCAATTTGGGAATCCTGTGCTTTCCTTTGATTTATGTGGGGGGAAAATGTTAATAAGAAATGATACAAGAACAAAGATTTTAATACTTTGCAAGTTTGCCTCTCTATCTTTTTCATTTGTAAAATACAGATTTTTTTTTTACTTGTTTCTGTTTAAGAATAAAGAGACTGTGCAAATCTAAAGCATTATTCATGGTGATGAATTCACCACATTTCAAGGATAATATTTTGCTTCAAGCTTAATAGATGCAGGGATTAGAGGAACTGAAAAGCTTGTTAGCCACCAGCATCTCACGTTGTAGAGAAAATAAGTCTGTGTCTATTGATTATTATAGCTTTGTAACATAGGTTGAAATCAGGAAGTGTGATGCCTTCAGCTTTGTTGTTCTTTCTTAGGATTGCATTGGCTATTCAGGGTCTTTTGTAGTTCCATACAAATCTTAGGGTTGTTTTTCCTATGAAAAATGCCACCGGAAATTTGATAGAGATTGCGTTGGATCTGTAGGCTGCTTTGGGGAGTATGGACATTTAACCACATTAATTATTCTAACCCATGGCATGGAATCTGTCCATTTGTTTGTGTCTTCTTTAATTTTTTTCATCAGTGTCATATAGTTTTCAGTGAACAGATCTTTCACCTCCATAGTTAAATTTACCCCTAGGTATTTTATTCTTTTTCATGCAATTGTAAATAGGAATGTTTTTTAATTTCTCTTTCTGATAGTTTGTTGTTAGTGTACAGAAACTAAACAGATTTAGATCTTTTATTCTGCACCTTTACTGAATTCATTTATTAGTTCTAATAGTTTTTTTGGTGGAGGCTTTAGTAATTTGAATCTTTCCTTTTTTTTTTCTTAGTCCATCTAGCTAAAGGTTTGTCAAGTTGTAGGTCTTTTCAAAAACCAACTTTTGTTTTCATCAATTTTTTTTCTATTCTCTTTTGCGTTTATCTTTGCTTTAATCTTTATTATTTCCTTCTGCTAACTTTGGGTTTAACTTGTTCTTCTTTTCCAGTTCCTTATGTTTTAAAGTTAGGTTGTTGATTTAAGATCTCACTTGTTTTTTTTTTTAATGTAAGTGTTTACAGCTTTAAATTTCCCTGTTAGTACTGTGTTTTTGCTGCATCCCATAAGTTTTGATATGTTATGTTTTTGTTTCATCTCTAAGTATTTTCTAATTTCCCTTGTGATTTCTTCTTTGATCCATTGGGAGTGTATTGTTTAATTTCTACAGATTTGTGAACTTTTCAGTTTTCTTCTGTTACTGATTTCTAACTTCATCCCATGTGGTTTGAGAAGATACTTTGTATCATATCTATCTTATAAAATCTATTGAGACTTAATTTGTGCCCTAACATATGGTCTGTCCTGGAAAATGTCCTATGTGCAGTTGAGAAGAACATGTATGTCATTATTGTTGGGGAGAAAGTTCTGTATATATTTATTAGGTTTAGTTGGTTTATTGTGCTATTTAAGGCCTCTGTTACCTTGCTGATCTTCTGTCTGCTGTTCTATCCATTATTATCCATTATTGAGAATGGATTATTGATGACTATAACTATTATTGTAGAACAGCGTATTTCTCCATTGGGTAAATATCTTTAAAAGGGTATATTTCTTTTATTCAAGGAGATCACGTATAGGTAATGTAGGATTGTTAGAGATGCCATATATAAAATTATCCTATTTTAGTAGCTTGTTTTATTATCCCTCATCCTGATCTTGTAAACTTTTGACCACACATTAAATCCATAAAGGGGAAACTTAAAAATAGAAGTAGACCAATGAAAACTATTATAAGATAAATATTTAATTGTATATGTATAAATAATTATTTACAATATTTATTTAATAACTTTTAGGACATACTCCAATAAAAATTATTATTTTTCTTCCAGTCAGATTTGTAAGGTAATCTTTTAAAGGTAATATTGGAGTAATTTTTAAGAGAGACATTATGGCATTTGCTAGGAAATTTGGAAACAAGAAGAGATATTAAGGTATTTGTCATAATATAGCATATATAGTGTATGTTTAAACTAAGTATAATTTAAAGACTACCATTATAAAATTTTGGTTTTAAGAGCTTTGCAGTTCCTTAAGAACATGAAAGTATGATTAATTGCAACATACTGTAATTCTTAACACACCTGATCCAAGTGGAAAACGTTTAGCTATATCCTTGTATGTCAATAAAATTCTTATACCTTTTATCCCAAAAGGGACATGGGAAGGCCAAGTACAACTTTTAACTGCTTTCACTCTCCTGCAAGAATTGAAATTCACTTAAATTGTTTTGGCCTTTATTGGGTTTTTTGTTTTGTTTTGTTTTTAAAGATTTTTATTGGGGAATTGGGGGGATGGGAACAGTGCTGGGGAATCGGGGGAAGGGGAACAGACAAGTTGCTGT